AACGATCGCTTTGTAGACTACCATCTGACGAGCGTAGAGAAAAGTCACAACAGACACTCAGCAGCAGCGCATGGCATGTATATGACGATCAGTTGTGGGTCAGGATAGCTAGGTGAGACGACAGCAGACTGTTTGGCCTCGATATAGCAACAAGGGGCGAAATCATTCTCGGTGGACATTCGTAAGTGACGGTCGCACTGTTCTGAGAGTACAGTCCGTGATGCACCAAGCGCGTACGGTGTTGCCGAAGAAGGCAACGAAATCTGTAGTATTACTGTTACATTACACAGTCTCCAGACAGTTGGGACAGGCGACCTCCTCTTCCGGCCCATATAGCTTCAGCGTGACAGGCCAGTAGAATTTGAATCCCGATACATCCGGCGGGACATTGCTTGCCTCCTCCAATTCGTTCCAGAAACCCCGGCTTTGATGGGAAACGCGATCCACATCTGTGTACTGGCTGTTGTAGAAGTGTATGTTGGGGACCAGCCTGCATCTCATTTGATCAGCGCTGTACTTGCATATGAAGAGCCTAGTAGCCCGAATGCTCACGATCGTGACTTTTTGCCGATATTGAGAAGATTGGACATGAAAGCGCCGATACTCGCCTCGTGCGAGAGCATCCCTGGCGAACCCTCAGGTCGCAAAAAGATGTGTAAGTTTTCATGGAGAACTTCCAATGACATATGCTCCAGAGGGTTGACGTTATGGACGCAGAAAGTTCCGATATACCTCGACGACATATCTTTGCAGTATTGAGCTACAGCGGTACCTGAACAGTTCGCAGGTATGCGAAGGCAGATAGAGTCAAGACTATCCATGAAATAGTTTCCCTTCAGCATCTTGGCAACACCCTCCCACACTTTGGGGTAGAGGATGAGGCTCTTGGCTAAAGGTTCGCCCAAGGCTACTGAGGCGTCGTCGGACAAGACCGATGCACTGATCCACTCCATGCACTCATCTCTGTCATCGACGAGGCCGTCTGTGTTATCGTAGAGTTGGCCATAAAGATACTCCAGAGAGGTCGCCGCTTGTTGCAGAAAGATTGCGGCAGGAGCGTCTTCAAGGAATAGATGCTGTGTGCTCCATATCTGACAAATCTTTCGCGCGATGGGTGGGGGAATGAATTGGGAGGCCCAGGGTGGAAGTTCGAAATTCTCTCTCTCGAGCTGCCAGATATAGTCGATGAGGTGCGGCTTATGGAGAGCGATCTCCTCGTCGATAGCGTCGAGGCCGTCCGCTGTGAGGCGCCCGAAATAGGCCTCCGCATTGGAAGCATTGAGCCTGACCCTCTCGTAGAGACGGGGCATGGACTTGGCGTACATCGCTCGAGAGACGCGCATGAGCGAGGAGAGTGTCGGCTTGTGGGTGGTCTTCTGGAGGCATTCGAAGATGAGGCTGCGGACCTCTGAGGGGAGGCGGTCGAGAGTGATGAGGGACATGGGCGGGGAGTTGTGAGATGTGCGGTTTGAGGAGAGAAAACGAAGGACAAGCATCACCGGCCACCCATGTCCGGATGCACCGTACATTGGGTCCGGACGGCTGCGTCTTTCTGTCCTCTTTACATGTTGACTTCGCATTTCGGTGCATGTATATTGGCGTCAGGGCTGGCGGAATAGAACGATCGCTTTGTAGACTACCATCTGACGAGCGTAGAGAAAAGTCACAACAGACACTCAGCAGCAGCGCATGGCATGTATATGACGATCAGTTG